CAACCTCACGGGTTCCACCGTGACTCTCAAAGGCATCGGACCCCCCCAAAAGTGTGCTTTTTGGGGTCACGACGGTGGTTTTTAGATCGGACTAAACCGTGAGCATCGAAACCTGTCACTTGACCTCAGTCCCTGACGTCACAGGCAGTTTGCGTCGCAGGCGTTGGTGGCTGGAATCTCACGGTCTGAGGTGTGACACGGTTTTGAGCACGGTGCTTTCAAGGTGTACATATGTTCCATGTTTTTGGAGAACATGTCAAGTGATTAGCTGAAAGTGGGCTACTGGCTAGATCAAAGGCTTCTGAGGTGCCAAACAAGTTAAGTAGCATCTCAAGCATGTCAAGTGAGTTCTTCGTTACCCCTCGCAGGAAGGAGCGGCAGTTCTTGGTTCCCGAGGTCTCTCGTGCCCGGGGCCCCCGGAAAGAGGACAGCGGGCTCTGAGCTCAGGGAATGAAGGTTCCACTCCTTGTTGGGAGATCAAGGGATACTTAAGGCAGTGCCCTGACGTGAAGGTTCCAGACCCTCATTCACGTTGCAGTGCCTCTTTCACAACACGTTTCAGGATGCTTCAGGCCCTCGCTGGGATGGTTCTGACAGAAAAGGCATTGCCAAGAGAAGATACCGGCACCCTGCAAACCCTGCAAATCACTGACACCTGAGTAGGATATGGGAGGATAAGACGACACCGAGACGTACGAAGCTCTCATTCATGATCCGACGTAGCGGCTCGTCGTGCCTGGCTGCGTCTCACCATTTGTTCGTTTGGCTGCGATGGGGAACGAAGTGTCTGAAAAGGTGGTGGCTGAAGGTCTGAGAAGGTGGCGGCTTTGCCATTGCCGAAGATGTCCTTTTTTGCCCAATGGCCTGGATGAGAATTTCATTAAACTGATTTACCCAGACGCTCATGGGCCCAATATGGAGGGGTCGAACCCTCATATGGAGGGGTCTGGGGTCTCAAATCCCTAGGTTTCGAGGGACCAAGGGCTGTTTGGAGCGTCTGGGTAAACTGAATAATGGTAGGCCCGACAATGGTGGGCCCGACTGTTGCGAGCTGCATACAGTATACGCAATCACTGCTAAAAGTCAAAGACTCACTCAGTGTAAGAATCATAAATGTGTCAAAGGTTGGGTCATAAGCCCATGCTTGCAGAGGTTATTCACTTTACTGCAGTTCGTTTGGGTTGAGCCGCAAAAGATGATCCAATACACCAGAAGAAGACATGCATAACGTCCCAACCAGCTCCAGCATCTCTCACACACCCAATAGCCACGCAACATCCAACTGGACCCGTCAATTGGACGTCACTCTAGGTGCTCCCAGACCGAGAGGCGGTGCTGGCAATGGTGGACACATCGTTCGTGACCCAGGGCGGTGCAGGTCGGTTTTCATGGTGTTAACAGATCGACCTTTCCTGGCAAAACAGGTGGTTTAGTCCTTAAAGGTCCTCTCTTCCAGGAGTCACGGAGCTCGGTCGCTCGGGGTGCCGGTTCCGAACGAAGGATCGGGGAGCCGGCGAGCCCCTGTCACATCCACTCACTCCACTCCTGGTTTAAAGTACTCTCTTTGGGGATCTGTTCAATCAATCCAGAAGGTCCATGAAAAACAGATCCGACGGAGAACCAACCTGGCTATCCATGCTTGAGTCGGGTGAGATGTTTCGTTTGAGCAAACCAAGCAACCCCAGAGTTCTTGCTGAGATGGTCGTTTCCGGGAATCCATTGATTTGGGCGCACGCACTGATTTGGACTCTTTGTTAATTGTACTCAGTGATACGGTGAGAAGCTAGCGAGAGAGCTGGGTCGCGTGCTCGCATGAGGTATTTGGTAATTATTGAGTTGGTCAACAATGCTTATGAAAATTGCCTGACAAGCGACGATAAGGAACTCCTTTACTTTTGGGTTCTTTCTTTGTTTGTGTGTGTTTTTGTTCCATTTAGGAGCAGGCAGCAGTGGGTACCCTGTGATTCTCACTGGATGGCTGTTTCGCTTTGCTTTCGAGGGTCTATTGGTTATGACCAACCAGAGCACATAGCCTCCCCAGTCAAACAGTACACATCAACGAAAATGGACGCATCCTAAAGAAGATGGTTGGTGAAAAACATCATGGATAGACTCTCCGGTCTTTCCCAAATTCTTGTGTTTTAGCCTGATAGGTAAGCGGATGAAGTGACCTACGAGGCCGCAGTCCGTTGCCAATTTGGATAGCCGCCCGGACTTGGGAGGCATGGGAGCCATTTCCATCACCGTTTTATACCGTTGTCATCCTCCACTCTCCCTTTGCGCTGAGGCCCTTGGGGAAGACACGGTTGGGATCCCCAGTGAAGCTCAGACTCAGATGCCTAGGCAAGAGAAGTCAACTCAGCAAGTCGGCTCAGTTTGATTCGTTTTTGTGGTTTTGAGTCCCATCCGGCTGTGGATGTGACGACGGGGCACCCCGACTTCCAGTTCGGCACCCCGACATGTGATTTGCCCAAGTGCATTGATTCATTAACCCACCTCGGCTCAAGCTGCCTGCGGCTGCCTGCCTTTGGCAAACGTATGGCGCCGATGGGGTCGACTGCAGATGTCCTGCCAAAGGTGCTGGACTTTGTTCCCCTCGATTTGCATCTCATCTCCCAGCTACGTGCGGTCAACAAGGGCACAACTGGAGCCTACGTGGTGGAGAGAGAGCATCAAGCGATTGAAGGCCTTCTTGAATCGAGAATATGTCCTTGCCTTTCAAGTGCTCAATCCAAGTGAAGAGGACTTCATACGACAACTTGGGCTCGCTCAACGGCTTAGAATGTGGGTCAACTCTCCTTCAGCTGAAAATGCAAGGGTGGAGAGTTGAAGGAGAAGAAGTGAAGAAGTTGAGTCTACCCCCCGTGGGGCACTTGGCAGGATGAGGCAAGCAACGGACGCCTTGTGTGACTTGGATTTGATTTCGGTGCGGTTAATGATGTTTTGGGCTTTTACAGATGGGGAAACTGAATATGTTCTGTCAGGAACTTATAGTGTTTGATAATTCATGGGATTGAATAGGAATAGTATGGAATAGTTCCAAACCTGCACTGTGCTTCATTGCTTCAAGTGGAGTGTTCATTTATGACTCTATGACACAGAGCCATAGGGTTTTTCCTGCTTTCCAGCAGTGGGTGTGAATGCTCATGGATGCCATGAGTGCCGAACGGCATCAAGATACCAACAGATCACCACGGTAGGTGAAGATCCGTAATTGGGAGAATGGCAGACTTCAGCCACCTTCTGAGGTGATGAATGGCAAACTGAGAAGCTGCAAGACATCCTTCGAGACATGGGGCGACAGGCACGGCGAATTGAAGAGTATCATTTGAAGCGGGGGCATGCAACACACACACAATGGTTTCCCAAACAGATCGTAGAGGGATGGACGATCCCAGTTCATCCTTTGCAAACCTTGAGACATCAGAGTTGATCATTGAAGACGCAGATTCCAGTGCCCACACTGAAATGACCAGAGACCCACACGTCCATTCGGAGGTGATGCTGGCTCTCACCCAGAATGGAATTGAAGATGAAAGAGCTCAGCAGATTCTGCAAAGGTTGTATGATCAAGGTCTCCTTGTCCGCCCTAACATCTCAGAGCCGATTAAGACTTCTGTTCGTTCTGGGAGTACTCATCGTTCCATTGAACTGGTTGCCGCCTCAGCGGTGCCGGCAAGTGGAAGTCTTTCCCAGCCGCTTCTGGAGACGGGCACAGAGGATCATGGGGCCGGAGGAAGAAAAACATATGCCAAACCCTCAAAACAATGGGTACCCTATGTGTGGCCTTTCTTCCTTTACTTGCTGCTAGCTGCCTTCACATTGCGTAGTAACAACCAGATTGCTAGGGAAAGAGCTTTAGCAGCAAAAGCTACAGCAGATGCTGCAGCTGCAAAAATAGCTCAGACTCAAGCTGAGTTAAAGTTTGAACATATTCAAGCTTTGTATGACAAAAGAAAAAGCTTGTTTGATGCCGAAAGCAAAGTTTCACAAGAAGAAGCTGTAGCACAAGAACACCATTTACAAACTAAACTCAAACAAGTCGAGGAACTGGTGTACCATTGGGATGTGTCACACCGCTTTCCACCAGAAGAATATGTTGGGCGAGTTGGGCATGAAAATTTGTTGTATGCGCCTGGAGCGATGCCGCTTGACCAAAGTAAAAGATTGCTATATGCCAAAATAGCAGCAAGTCACTTGCCAAAGGAGGACCTGGAGCGATCCCGCGGTGTGGCCGCTTAGGATCCATCACTGGTCCATCACTAGAATCTGATAAACTATCGGGATCTTCATTTATTTCCCAGACACTCCATGGGACTGCCATATATGCTTACATTGGGGTGGTGGTTTGGGGGGTCAATGGGGCGGCAGTCCTATGGCAGTCCTCCCATTAGTCGTGTCTGGGATTGGATCCGCGCGGAGCGATGTCGCAAGTTGCTTGACAATGCGTTTTCCAGCCGGGGATGAGGGGACTCTTCAAGCACTTGTTTGCAAGCCCGGAAGAAGTTGATGGACTCATCAGGCAAGTCTAGGGTGTAGAACTCCGCTGAGAGGGTGAAGGCCTATATCATCCTGCCAGCGGATAAGCGTTGTTAGGGTGTAGTGACAAGCGTTCGAAACGCCGTAGCACAGGTCACCCTCGCCATTGAGCGCCTAAGTAATTGGTGATTAGTGTGTGTGTGTGTGACCGATATGAATGCAACTCAAAACAACAGGAAGTCATCCCATAGCCTCAGTTGAATAGATAAATGTGCTGAGAGACGGAATCAATCGAGCTGAATAATCTGCAGACGCTTGATTCAATCCCCTTGACAGAAACTTGAAGACACTCAGAGACCTGGACCTGCAAGGTGTTTGTAGTCTTCCCGGTTTGACAGAGATGGAGACACCAGGCCGGATCCCTTTCTCTTCCTACAACATCCTTTGCAACTTGGCCGAAAGAGGGAAATCGCTTGGTTGCCAAGTCCTTGAACCTGGTGAATTTTCATTGTATTTGTGTTTCCTTTTTGCGTTAGTACTGGCAACACAGTCCGATTTGTTTAGGGTTTGCTTTCGTGTCTTCTGGGAGCACGGACCAACTGTCCTTGGACGGGTCAGGCACCTGACAGCTGGAGTGACACAGTCACTGCACTCCTGTCATCAAAACGTGTCGCACGCCCACCCAAAGAACCCATGGAATTGAAACACCCTTTATTGTTCAGATCTCAAAACGCATGTATGAAAAGCATTGTAAAGCTCATTGCGATGAAACCACACAAACGAAGAAGCAAATCCAGTTGCCAGCACCTTCCAAGGGGTCACGAATGAAAGCCCATACTCTACTTATGGATCTTCAGACATCTTCAGACAGGGCACGGCCTTCAAGGTCCAGCTTTCTTGGCGCTCTGCGTCCACCTGGATCAACACCAGGTGTGATGTCCCGGTCGTGCAGCTGAACGACCTGGATCGGCTCACTGAAAAGCGGTGACCCCTGCGGCCGCCTGCGGCCCCTGGACCTGGTGGTTTTGGAAGAGGGGCAGTGGAGGGTACACTTCCACTAGATGTCCAGGAACCAACTACATCTTTTTTTGCACCGAAGCGAAGTGTTTAGGACATTCCTGACCTATTTCAGTCACCGAAGAAACCATGTTACAATCATGGTCTTGCACTCCCGGGGCTCTGCCACCTTTGAACTCGGCCCGACTCGCCGTCTTTGTTTAGTACCTGATTGCCAGGTACAAGAGGCTTTTTTTCATCGATTGGCCCGGCGAGGGCTTGCCGCTTGGCAGCACCGCGTTGGCCATCCACATTGGTCATCCACGGCCATCCGTGGCCTCAAAGGCAATATCTACCGTATGGAGCAGAAGGCACATAGGGTAGATAGTTCATATCCCAATATATCCTGCATGGTTCCTATCAAATCGTATCTGTGGAAGAATGTTATATGAATGTTAGTTATGGCTGCATTCTGCATCCGGCGGAACAAGCATGCGTTTCCTGTCTTCTGAGGTTAAAAAGCAAGTTGTTGACCTCGTTGCAAAGCCTTTTGGACGGCAAGGTGAACTCAGGCCCTGGATGCCGGGGCATCTTTTTCATGATGTGCGTTTGATGTATTATATCGCACATGTAGCGCATCTTAGCGCTGTAGTTTGTTTTTTTGTCTTTGTTGGGTTTCAGAGATTCCAATCCCAAGCTGCCTTTGGTTTCGTTTACCTCATCTGAACCATGGAGTCAGCTTCTTGCAGAAACTGTCGTTGATATCAATGTGCCTGGACACAACGATCCTGTTGCCTCACGTTCTTTGGGGCTGGAAGACCCTTTCAATGAATCGCAGGCAACCTCAGCTGAAGCACATCATCCCATCCCTTCTTGTTTTGACCTCGCGCCGCGTGCGCGCGTTGATGACGGCGTCGTTGGCACGGAGGTGGCCCCTTTCGCTTGGTCTACCGGAACCAGGATTTGGAGACGGACACGCCGGGCATCCGAGAGGGGCGGTGGGCGATTGGTTTTCGGTTGGTGTTCGCATGGATTTCTTCATATGTGTTGGTTCACATTTCACATGTCAGTCCATGGAGTCCATAAACAGATCCGATCCAAAGCGTCAAGATCCTCATGTGTTAATCGTGTGACCACTTCTGGCTGGTCTTCTCACCCAAGTCACAGGTGTCACAGGGTTGTCCTGGTGTGCTGCATCAAAGACCCACAGCTATATACTTCTCTCCACCCCACACCAACACATCAACGCCTCCTCCACTCCCTCTTCCACACCAACAACAACGCACGCGCAGAAACGGGTTTACGTGCAGTTCGGGCATGGACTAATGATGGGGATCCGTGCTTCATGGGGGGGTCATTCTCACCACCACCTTGTACGATGCTAGTGATGCCACTGTTCTCTCTCATATAGCAACGAACGATCGTCCTTTAAAGGTCATTGACACCGCCTGGCGCTCATCGAAGCAGGATCGCCGGACGGCTCACGAACGGCTCTAGGGGTCACGGAGATGGGCGATCGCCTGTATTCGAACGAGTGGCGTTGGTTTTTCACAAGCTAGCTAGCAGGAGGGGTGCTTTCCAACAGAGGTTGAAGAATGTTGAAGAACCCGAACGTTCGACTATCCCAGTTGGGTACACCAGTAAGGTCCTAGTTCAGGTCACTTAACCTCTCTTGGTTAGTTGAACCCTGCAACTGAAGATGAATTAATAGCACACGTGGGCCAAGTAAGTGATGATCACAACACTTCAAAGGAACCATCCTCCATCCACATCACGAGCCATGAATTCACAGCCCCGTGGTTGTGGGGGGCACATGCTTGGTGCTGATAGACCGGGCCTCTATAAGGACCTTCACACAATTCTTGGCACACCTGGCTTCCCTAATGACCTCACTTCTCCAAAAAGCTTCAGACGTGTCTGACTTCCCCAAGGTTTTTGAGAAGATAATATAAACTTATCAACAAGAATCAATAATGACCTCTGAAATCATACGAAGCGCGGATCCTTCGTTCTCAAGATTCAGACCTGGCATGACCTCCGCCTCGCCTCGCCTAAGGACCTTCAAAGTGGTGGCGCAGTTCTTCGGTCTTTGGCCGCAGCTCCCCATCCGTGGCGCGTGAGACGGGGCCGGACACGTGACGTGACGGGACGCAGGAGACGCGGCTTCTTCGCGTGCTTCGTGCCGTGACGTGACGGGCCGAAAACAGGTGGTTTCTTTCGGAAAAGAAGGGACCCTGACGGAGATGTCGGTCACTGGGATGAGAGGTACTTCTCCATTATGTCACCAGCACCGAAACCAACAGGTCTCCGAAATGGAGGCTTTTGCCGACCTAAGGGCGTCGCAGGTGATGACCTGTTGGTGTCGGTCCTGGTATTATGTGTTCTCCTGTGACCCGCCTGTTCCATCCTTTTCCTACTGCGACTGAGCGACTTAGTCATACCAAAGTCCAGTTACATTGCTGTGGATCCACAGGGTACACCGGTGACGATGGATCTGAGACTCCATGACGATGCCATCGTATGGATCGGTCCTCGCGAGGTCCTCGCAGGTACATGGGATGTCATGGTACGTCCATAGCGGTCACGCCCAAAATCACTTGACCCAAACGCTCCATGTCTGGAAACAAAACATGCCTAGGAACTCACGGCCAGGGGTGGTGGTGGTGCCAGGGAAATCAGACTCTGGGGCGGCAGAACGGACGAACGCAGTCCCTTCCAGATGGCGGTCGTGTGCGCGGGGTGATCTCACCTCGTCAGGTACATGGGCGTCCTGAGACTCCGCTGGAGAGACACGGTGCGCAGTCCCGTCAGCCGGTCTGGGGAGTCGAAGCACCAACCATTCGCCAATCGGTTTGCAGGGTCTGAATCGGACACCAGTAACGGATCGAAAGATCGCTATATTCAACGCAGCCGCATCACCAATTGTTATGTATAGCACTATATACTATAATAGTAGTGGATTGATGTGGATGGTTTTTTGTTCCAAGAAGTTGGCAAGGGGGAGCAGCTATACCTGAATGGCTGGTTTGCACAAGAAAGTTGAAGATCTCAATCAATTAGCGTCCCCACACAGAAACTGCCAGCTTCCAATTCCTCTCAACCATGCTCGCCACCATGAACAACCCACCTGTATCAATCACTTGGCATCTCTGAGCCCTTCTGACATCTTCTGACTGTCCATGTGTTCTTCATACACAGCTCCTGTCGCCGACTCTTCAGGTCGCCAACCGCCAACCGACGTTGCAGGTGCTCTTCGTGGTGCCCAGCTCTTCTCTACTGGGGGGTGGACCCTTCCGCGAGGTGCCGCGACCTGGGCAGTGCGAGGGAGGTCAGGGAAAAGGGAAGGGAAGGGCAGTGCTTATACCCGAAAGAGGGTGATAGAGTTGTAAAGGTGCTCATTGTTTGGGATGAGAATGTGAGCCTACTTTTCATGAGAGCCTGTTGAAGGGTTCAAGAGAGAGGGCGAAAATACATGTACAGCGCAAAGGCGTCAGAAAGTACCCAGGTCCTATAATTACCTCCAACATTCGGAACCATGAAGAAGCACTCAGAAGTCCCAAATGGTCGCTCCTTGCACAACTACAGTCTATCCCAGATGCTCCATCATGTATATGGCTACATTGACCTCCAAATCAATCACCCCAAAGCACTCCCATATATATGTATCGTCATGACACACCATTCACTACTTTGCAGCCATGGTACGTTTCATAACGTCCAACGGGACTCCTCCCCTGCGGGTGGGCAGGTGTGACAAGACATGCTAAGACTCCCAAGAGCCTCCACCGGGGTACTGTCGTGCTCGTTTGTGACTCCAGGAGCAACTCGAGTCTCGTGGAGCCAGCAAAGCTCGCACAGCACAGCAGTCAACGAACACCAAGGGGGGGGGGCCCGTCATAGTGGTCTTCGTGTTGAAGATCAGTGGATTCCCTGGGAATCCCGATCTGGAAATGTTCGAGATTCTCACAGCACTCCAAACAGACGCTTTCTTCCTATGTGTCGTAACTATGATCATTAGGCGTCGCAACTTACCCAAAGAAGCAATGTCCACGTGTCCACGATCATATCTTCGAGGCTAGCCAACAAGCAATCAGCCTTAGTTATTGAGCGATGGCAACAAACATTTCAGCGCTGCAGCCGAGTGGTGAAGTCATGGTTCTTGAAGTCACGCCAGAGATGACAGGCCGCGAGCTTAAGCAGCAGATCAAGCAGAGACAGCACTGGGACGAGCTCACTCGCAGCACTACAGGTGTGGAGCTTATTCTCAGAGATGACCACTTGCTAGCCAACGATGCAAAGGTGTTGGACGCTGGAATGGCTGAAGATACTGCCGTGAGTGTTATCTTCAAGCCAAACAAGGTGATATGCTCCAAGCAAGATATGATCGGCAGTCTTGGTGGCATCGCTGACTTGGACTTGTTGCTTGTGGTCGAAATTCCAGATGCTGAAACGCAGATTTGTGAAAACGCTTTTGACAGTTGCCACACGTTGGCCAAAGTGATCATCCCAAACTCAGTTACTCACATGCAGGATTATGCTTTTGCAGCTTGCAGCTCTTTGGTGGAATTGACCATTCCAGACTCAGTGGCCCACATCGGGAATTTCGCCTTTGCCGGTTGCAGCTCTTTGGTAGACTTGACCATCCCGGACTCTGTGACTCACATTGGGCATCATGCCTTCACGTTTTGCAGATCCTTGGCGAACTTGACCATCCCAAACTCAGTGAGCCACATTGGGAGTCATACCTTTACGAGTTGCAGCTCTTTGGTAGATTTGACCGTTCCTGACTCTGTGACCCACATTGGGGATAGTGCCTTTGAGAATTGCACCTCCTTGGCCAACTTGATTTTCCCGAACTCTGTGACCCACATTGGGAGTGATGCCTTTGCAGGTTGCAGTGCCTTGGCCAGCTTGACCATCCCAAACTCTGTGACCCACATTGGGGAAAACGCTTTTCAGTGCTGCAGCTCCTTGGCGAGCTTGAACATCCCAGACTCAGTGACCCACATTGGGAACTTCGCATTTAAGGGTTGTCGTTCTTTGACAAAGTTGACCATCCCAGACTCAGTGACCCACATTGGGAATTTTGCCTTTTTGGGTTGCTGCTCGTTGGCCAACTTGACCATCCCAGGCTCAGTGACTCAGATTGGATTTGGTGCCTTTCAGGATTGCCGTTCTTTAAAGTCTTTGGTGGATTCCAAGTCGAGGTCGAGGTCGAGGTCGGTTGCTCGCTGAACATTGCCCACACGCACGAAAAGGGGACGGGGCAGCCAGCAGCCAGGCGGGGAGAGGCCAAGGTAGCCACGTTCTTCCGCCAGTTTGTTCCAGTGTTTGTACCCTCCAAGCCTACATAAAAATGTCTCCAATTTCTGAAAGGGTATGTTGGATCCACGAATTATGTCTCCTTCAAACCAGGTCTTAAACGTCTACGTCTTTTCCGACATTTCGGGGCCCGGAAGCGATTTCGCCGCGGCGGAGGGATGTGAGGGGGGGTATACGTCTCTTTTTCAATTCTTTGCATGTGGAACCGTGTTGGTGTTGTACAGACGGGCTCCTCCCCCTGTCTGCCTGCAAGCACCATGTTCATGGCTGAGAACAGCAGGGGCGCATCATCGTTCTCCAAGGCGCTGCTACGCCCCGAAGAGGATGCCGTGCACGAGGCAGTGATGCCGGTGGTGCCCGGCGCTCGCCTCAGACTTATGGAAGGAATGGTCCTTTTGGAGGGTCGCAAAGCGTTTTGTTGGAAGAGTTACTGGTTCCTTTCAGACTAAGGAAATCACAAGAAATCCAAAGTCTTGTGGTGGTCATTGATCCTTCGTGAACATTAAACATATGCGTGAGATGCCTAAGAGATGAAGTAGCACTACTTGCATCATTGGCCTGGTCTCCAACACCCCTGTCTGGTACTTCTATCGTACTCAATGGAATCGATCACCAGATGCAGCTTAGTGCAAGGACACATGGCAGCACTTGTTGCATCACCCACGAGATACTTTGCAATAAGCACCACATCATCATCAGAGGAATCGGTGACCTCACCAGCATTCAAAAAAACATATGTCAATGAGGCTGAGAAACGGTGTCATTGGCTGTTTCAGCGCACCAGCCGATGTTTCAGTGCATGTGACAGCGAAGGTCTCAAGCTCCTCAAGAGAGGATTCCTTCAGTCCTTGTTGTTTCAGGAATCCTTATGAATTATAGGCTGTGGATGGTTGGTGTGGCTGTGAAGATGATGCGAGACTGGCATAAGAAGGGGGTTGATTGGCGCGTGATGGTTTTCCAGGTGTTAGTGTCATTGGTGTTTTCTTGAAGCAGTTGACAGGTGTATCGATGGGTGCAGTTGACAGGATTCTGCTTTGGGGGGGGCCTAAGTCCAACATACCAAGAGTGAAGCTGAACACAGGTGCTCGAACTGCCTCACAGCAGGCAATCCTGACGCCTGAAGCCTCGGAACAAGGGACTGGACACGAGGTCCCTCCCTGCTTGGGGTGAACTCATTTGCATCAGTCCACTGCGGAAAAGCCACCGCTGACGACTAGATGGGATCAAACCAGCCAGCCAAGGCAACCAACCAAGTTCCATGTATGCCATATATGCCTACATTGGGGTGGTGCCAGGGGGGTCAATGTAGGCATATATTCCAGTCCCATGGAGTGTGTGAGATGTCCAGGTCAGGTGGTGGATCCTATGTTGTTCCCACTGGCACCTTGGCGTTGGTGAAAGCCGCAGCGCGGTGTTCACAGCGGGTGTGCGGGGTCGACGTCGACAGGTGGTACTGATGATGAGAGATGTTCACCAAACGGTCACCAAGTCTGATGGTGAACACCAGATTTTGAGTGGTATTGATATCTTTTGATGGTTCCCCTTGCAAAGCAAGGGGAAACGGTTCCACTTGATCTATACACCACTAGGACAAAAGTGTGTTGTTCTTGAAGGTTCCAATCTGAGAGTCCATTCCCGAATCGTGCTGTCGAGGCTTATGTCGCCTCACACGGTCAAATGTCCTCCCTCCAAAGCCTTAAAGTTGTTTCATTGTTACAAGATTTTATAAGATTTTATCAGCAGTTTTATAAGCACCTCCTCAGGTTCGGTATGACTGGACCCTCCTGGCACCCACCCCAGTCCCACCTTCATAGAAGGTACGACTGGAGCGCTAGGGAATAAGTTATAAGCTTAAAGCAGAGGTTGATCATTGACCGTCCCACTCTGGCCACGCGATAGACTGGACTTCTTTTCTTTCGACCGTGGCTGATCCACATAGATGTAATAAGACCCGGAAGAAGCAAAAACACTTTCTTCCTGAAGTACTGTATACTTCCACTCACTGACGTGGAAGTGATCAGCCCTCCTTGTTTGGTCTTTGGACCATCAGATCATGAACTCCATTTTCCATTCATCATGTTCCATCCACCCTTCTTCACGTGCGAAGTGATTCACTGTCTCCTGACCCTCAAAGTGGTGGATCACTTCGCACATGGCCTTAATTACAGGTCAGGAAAACAGTTCCTGACTGACCTCGAGTTGAAGAAACCAGCTTCAGACTAGACTAGACCGACCAGCCCGGTCGGTGCGCTTCACGGAGACGACGGACTGAGTCTAACCGTCCGGTGCTGCTGCCGGCGGGGGCGGAGCTCTTGGGCGCGGACCTGCCAGGTGCGGAGAGTGGCCAGGAGGAAACAGTCATAGACTGTTTATATCTGTTTATTTTTCGTCTATCAGTAGTTATATATGGTGTATTTATTGTTTATCATCATCAGTAGAATTGTATATATCATCAGCAATATAGTTTTCACGATCATATAAATCTTATGCTGGATATCATACAGTACCTGTTCAACAGTATAAGTGTTAAACAGTGGTATACTGTGTATTGAAACGGTTGAGTAAATTGAAGCAACAGTATATTTCAACGGTTCAACTCTTGAAAACCCCCTTGGAACCCTAATTGAACCCAATGACTCGTGGATGTTTCAGGAGTTGAAACCACCACCACCAACCAGCTACTAAGTAGATACCAAAAACCCTCTGAAATAGGGGGAATGTCCCTAGTTGGACCTATTTTTCCAGGTCTCAGGCACTGAACGAGACCCTCGAACCAGTGACCTCAGCAGCAGTGTGGTTGGCTACTAACATCTGCTATACTCGGCTCCAACGCGTCCCGCGTCCCGCGTCCCACCACGCTGGCAGGCACCTCCTGCGATGCCGTGTGCGAGGAAGCGGGCCTGGAATGCCATCCCGAGGAGCGGAGCGGCTTCCGCTCCGCCGGGGTCCGGGAATGGCCATACCGAAGTCGAAGCACCGAGCTGTTTCTCTAAGGGTTTTACACCCACACAGCACCAGCTCGTTCCCATTTTTTCTCAATGGGCGACTTGACTTCCGCATATAGATTTGGGAGTGGTTTCGGTACCTGGAGCTCCAAAAACCTCGCTTGGGGTGGACGGACCCTTCAAGGTCTCGGTGGGTCGTAGGCCGGGGCTTCCATGCAACACCTTTTGGATCCTTTCGGTGGGATCTGGGGTCCACACCCCACTGAAAAATACTGGATTTCATCGACTCGGTGAGCCAGACGTGTCGCCTCTGGCCGAGCCTTCCGTGTGGGGCGTGGCGTTGCACGAACCGAGCTCGTTGGACGTGTTGCAGGGCCCAAGCCGAGTTGATCTAAAAAGCATTTCGAGTTGATTTCTCCCGCGCTGGTTTTGTCATTAAAGGCATGGGAAAGAGCTGGCGGCAAGTCGTGACAAGTCCTCAATAAAATAAAACAGCTCGGTGGTTAGTGACGGTTAGTGGTTCGATAGAATATAATATGGTGTTTTGAAGGGGCCAGGTTTGCCCCTCTTCCACTCAATCCTTCCGCAGGATCTTCCCTTCATCAACAGCTGTCGTGCTCTAGAAGCTCTCAATTGCAGGCGGAAGAGTCCAGCTCGGCTCAACGAGAGGGGAGGAGAGGTCCGGAGAAGCTGGAGAAACATACCCAGACGCGACCTGTCTGGGACTGCACCCGACTCTACAGGTCTCCGAAATGGAGGGTTGTTGGGCCCTGAGAGGTGTCAATTGGTGACCTGGCAGTGAGGGTGCTGGGGACTGCCATATATGCCTACATTACCCCAGAAAAGAACCACCCTGGCCGTGAAACTCGGCAGTCCGGACTAGTCCCAGATGGCGGTCGCGTCTGGGGGGTAGGTCCGGCGTATGCCCAGGCGAGCTGCGGCCCCTCCAGCCGGGCCTCTGCGGGGGAGCGGCCCACAGGATCCATTTGAGACTCCGTTCCTAAAGACGATCACTCATCGACCCAGACGCTGGACCCGAAGCGGATCTGGGGTTTCTCACGAATCCGGACCAGTCGGGCTGTGAACGGAGCGCGGAGGGTCTCCTAACAAAAACGACCTGTATCCTATACACACCCATACACCCCATGGGTTTGGGATAGGACTGCCGAGAAAAGGCCAGGGGTGGTAACACCCTAAACATGGTAGGTGAACTCCCCACGCAGAGAATTCCATCTTAGGTCATTGGGATGTGTTTCAACCCTGACCCGTGCAGCAGCACACCCCAACCCAAAACCTTCTCTTCGAATGTGGGAACAGTGAGCTTAACTGAGTTGAACCGGAAGAACGATCCCACCATGGTGGGAACGCTTCCTGGTGTTGAATGCAAGCAGGACCGGGTAGTCAAACGGTTGGACCTCGTTTTTCGGACAGCAACTCCACCTGCAACCGGTGTCGAAGGTGATGAGAAGTGTCTCAATCACCCGATGGCGAAGAAGCCCAACATGTGGAACCCTGTTTTTTCCCCACGGAAAAATCAACAGACTTGACTACAGCAAACCCCAGACGCTCCATGTATGCCATATTTGCCTACATTGGGGTGGTTTCGGGGGCCAAGGCATATATGGCAGTCCCATGGGTCGCGTCTGGGTACTAGCTGCTATAAGGAGGCCAACCTAGCAGGTTGATGTTCACAGCTTCTGGTGCTATCCAACCCACAGCCAGGAGTGTCCAAATAGACATACTTCTACTTCGGCCCGGCGACTGCTCGCTCAGCTCGTTCTCAGCTCGCCATGGCACTGCGCATCTCAGCGCTGCGGGCGAGTGGTGAAGAGATGGTTCTTGAAGTCGAGCCAGAGACCTGGAAGTTCAGCAGAATCGGACCGGGTGAAGGCCCAGCCATTCGATGGTCCCGTTCCAATGGTTAAAAAATAGACATCAGGTTTTACCTATGGCTTTGCCATGGTTTTACCGTTTTTATGGTTTACACATGGTTCAGACACACACTCTGACACTGGTTTTCAGTTAACTCAATTACTCCGATGGGAAGGAAGGCGAGGGAACGGCAAGGTGGCAAAGTCCGCTGAAAAGTATTGTTTAACACAAGTTTCACGACAAGCGCAAGTGGAAGCGGCGTTCAGCAGCTGCAGTGCGGTGGGAAACCTGTTTGTGGGGAAAGTATCGTGTGGAACCACCATGAATCAAACCAAAGGATTGGACAGCTTGTTCAAAAGTTGCAGCAGGTACACAGGGATGATCAGTCCCTGCTTCCCCTTCTTGTCCACAGCTTCGTTGCGTGTGGTAGGACAAGAAGGCCACACGCCCCTGCCTGATTGGAGTGGTCGAAGGAAACCCTTTGTCCAGGGGTGGACACACACAAGTCGCCGGCTTCGGCGCTTTTTTCAAGACACCCCCTACCGTTGAACCAGTGGACGAAAACCTTTTGCCCAGGGGTGGACACACACACAGAGCCGTTTTCGGCGCGGTCAAAGTAGTAGTAAGGCCAGGGGCCTCCAGTGGCGTCCTAACTCCCAGGGGAACATTTGTACAAAAAGCGCCAAATTGTTGGCGCAACGAAGAACTAGTAGACACCTAAAAAGCCTTAGAAAGACAGAAAAAGCAACGAAACAAGAGCAGACTAAGAGGGCAAGAAAGAAAAGTAGGGTAGTTACGAGGCCCACTTAGTTAAACGAAAGTAGAAGGCGAGCGGGACATTCGTCTTAAACCGCCCGGGTAGCTAGCAATAGCTAGGAGAAACAGAAGGAAAGGCACCAACACACAAGTGTGTTGAGTGCGATTTCCTTCTGTTTCCCGAGTAGCGGGTGGGATAGCAACGGAGGCCTGGGGGTAGGGGGGGGGGGGGGGGGGGGGGTGTGAATTCATCCGGCCTGTGAATACTTAGCAGCGCAGGCATGTGAATACTTAGCCGTCAAGTATGCTCAGGCTGGAGAAACAAGCATGACGTGGAGAACTGAACATGACGGATCCGAAATCTGAAAGCTGATATCCGATGTATTCCACAAGAACCGTTTTTTGGCCCGGCGGCCAGTATGTCAGTTGATTCGGTGAGGGTGTCGGTGACTTCCTGTGAGAGTCCAGTGAGTGGTGGTGCGTTGTGGTTGTTGCTTTCCCATGCAAGATCGGCGCCCCTGTGACGGGGATCACACTCAGCACCCGAGTGGGACGGCTGAGCGAGACACACTCTGACACTGGTTTTCAGTTAACTCAATTACTCCGATGGGAAGGAAGGCGAGGGAACGGCAAGGTGGCAAAGTCCGCTGAAAAGTATTGTTTAACACAAGTTTCACGACAAGCGCAAGTGGAAGCGGCGTTCAGCAGCTGCAGTGCGGTGGGAAACCTGTTTGTGGGGAAAGTATCGTGTGGAACCACCATGAATCAAACCAAAGGATTGGACAGCTTGTTCAAAAGTTGCAGCAGGTACACAGGGATGATCAGTCCCTGCTTCCCCTTCTTGTCCACAGCTTCGTTGCGTGTGGTAGGACAAGAAGGCCACACGCCCCTGCCTGATTGGAGTGGTCGAAGGAAACCCTTTGTCCAGGGGTGGACACACACACACACACTCTCTGGGGGAAAAACGGGAAAAGCCGTTTTTAGCCCTTTCTTCCAGGTTCCGAAACGCAGCACCGACCTCAGGAGATGACAGTCTGCGAACTGAAGCGGCAAATCAAGCAAGGACAGCGCTGGGACGAGTTGACCCGCAGCACTACGGGTGTGGAGATCATGGTTGGAGACAACCGCTTGCTGGACAACTACGCAAAGGTATCGGACGCTGGAATCGCTGAAGGTACTGTTGTAAGTGTTGTCTTCAAACCAAACAAGGTAATCTGCTCCAACAAAGATGCGATCGCCAGTCTGGGTGGCATCGTTGACTCGGAATTGTTGCTGGTGGTCGAAATTCCAAACGACGCAACACAAATCCTTGAGAGTGCTTTCGAAGGTTGCGACACATTGGCCAAGTTGACCGTCCCAGACTCAGTGACCCACATCGGGAATAGTGCCTTTCGCGGTTGCAGCTCTTTGGCAAACTTGACCATCCCGAACTCAGTGACCCACATACAGGATCGTGCATTTGCACGTTGCAGCTCTTTGGTAGAATTGACCATCCCAGACTCGGTGACGCACATTGGGTTTGCTGCCTTTGGGCTTTGCCGGTCTTTGGCAAGCTTGACCATTCCGAACTCAGTGACCCACATTGGGGCTACTGCCTTTGAGAATTGCAGTTCCTTGGTAGACTTGACCATCCCGGACTCAGTGACTCGCATTGAGAACCGTGCCTTTGCAGGTTGCACTTCTTTGGTAAGCTTGACTATCTCAGACTTAGTGACCCACATTGAATTTGGCGCCTTTGCATCGTGCACCTCTTTGGCAAACTGTTCCATTCCGAACTCAGTGACCCACATTGGGGATCAAGCATTTCAGA